CATGGAGCAGCGTGCTCCCTGCTAACAGCGAGGAAAGGGCAAGGGACTGGGCTCCAGGGAGGGATGAAGGCACATTTCCAGGGCCACAGCTTCCTCCAGATCTTCATTTCCATGGCTGGAGGCAGCAGCACGATGCCTTAGGTACAGGCTGGGGTGGCACAGCACTTCTTTGGGATGGCTGATTGAGCTCTGCCTCAGGCTGCAGTGACACAGCCCAGGTGGGGTGTCTGTCCCACAGCACCCCCACCAACCCGTCCACTGCACGGTCAGGAGAATCATAACAGCCAGTCCAGCCAGCCTGTTGGCTCCTGAAGGATCGCCAGAGAGACAGGAATCTGCCAGGAACTCCATCCTGGCTGCACATCCCACGGGCAGGCACCGGGATGGGGGAGATCCTGGCCCTTCCCACAGGAGCAGTGACACCACAGGGAGCTGCCCTGGAGGGCTGAGGTCAGCAGGCTTCAGCACAGTCCCAGGGGCTCCGACACATTCCCAGAGGCATTCCCAAGGGCTGTGGMTGCAGTGCCTGGGACATGCTGCTGCTCCTGCAGGCAGGTGCCAGGGGGATGGTGGGAGGCTGACAGGGAGCACATCCTGGGCAGGGAAAACCCAATCTCTGAGGCATGTAGCCAAAACTTTAGAGATGGGCTCAGAGACACTCAGAAATTATTTGCTTGGGTTTTTTAGGTTTTGTTTGTTTGTTTGTTTTTTTGTTTTGGGGATTTTTGGGAATGGAGTTGTTTTCTTTGTTTTGGGGTTGCTGGGCTGTTTTTCCCCAGGAGGCACAAAGCATTTATCCCTGAGCCAGGCTGCTCCCATAGCTGCCACAGGGATTGACTGAATGCCTTAATTAGCTCAGGGATTCACAAGCAAAAACCGACCATAAAACAGCTCCTCTTGCCTGGTCCCAGGGGGCTTCCAGAGGGAATGAGATTCATGTAACAACCCAAAACAAACACGAGGTTCTTCCTTTCCCCATTTATAAAACCAGCTCATGTGACAGCCTGAAGGGCTGGGAGATGGAGGCAGAGGCCCCTTGCTGCAAGGCTGGACCCTCCATGAGCGGCTCCTCCTCAGCCTGGGCACTCAGCTCCCACAGCACCACRCAGCTCCCCAGAAAGGCAAATCAGAGCGGCAGCAGAGGAACAGAGGTCCCTGCAGGATCCCACCCGTGTCCTGYGGCAGCAGGACACAGTAACAGAGCCATAACTGTATGGCTGGTTTATGTTCCTGGCTGCAGGGTGAAACCTCCCCATTTCAGAAGCATAGGGATGGAGAGGTTTGCTTTCCAAGAGCAGCCCATTGCCAGCAGCGTCCTGGGGGATCGTCCTATTGACAGTGAGCCAGCCCCCTTACCCCTTTGGAGGAGGGAAAAGTATCAAAAGCATCTCTGCTACAGTGACAGAGTAAATGGAAAGGAAACTTGGAGTTGAAGCTCAGAGAGCTCCCGACAGTCAGAGTGCAGATAAAYGCACACTCGGGGACGCTTTAACTCCAAGCCTGCGACTCTAATGATGCGTGAGTCGCTGTTTACAAGAGCAGCAYAGAAACTGGGGAGAACAGGATGCCTGGCCCGGCCCTACCCCTGCAATAATGATGCTCTGTGGACAAAACCAACAGCTCCCTCTTCCCGGGGCTGCACAGCCTAAAACTCCCTCGCTTCCTCCCTGGGAAATCGGTGCAAGCAGACGCAGCAGGGCAGAGCGAAGGAAGGGCATCAGAGAATGCTTCACAAAGCTTTGGCATTAGAACCCACATCACTGAACCCAAATCCATGGGGAGAAATATTCCCTTGCCCTCTTTTCCAGGGGATGACACCAGACAGGAAATTACAAGGAAAAATGCTCCTTGGACAGGACAGAGGGTCCCCGTCCATGGCTACATGGAGCAGAGGAATTGCCTCCTCTCATCCGGGAGGTGCAGACAGCTCACTCGGTGAGCTGAGATGCTGCACAGGCCCACAGGGATTAAACACTCTTGGCCTGCAGCCCTTGGATCAGCCTGGCTGTGCCAGCACCACAGCAGGGTCATCTCTTGGTGGCCACACCCCAGGAGGGCTCCACCATCTCCCTCTCCAAGGCACAAAGCTGGAGATTGGGCTGCCCACACCTCTGGCTGTGCCCTTCACACTGGTGATGACCATCTTTAATTATATGCCTTCATACATGCCTCCTTTCTCCTGGATCCCTTTRAAAGCACCCTTTTGGATGCTGCTCAGCCACTTGGGGTCAAAGCTTYTGAGAAAAATGCCACCAAAACTGCAGCACAAAAGGTTTTACCAAACCCAGTGCAGCCAGGGTGAAGGCTCTGCCTAAAAGATCACCAGCAGCATCCACAGTGACTTGGAAACCTCCTGGACAGACAAGTGCTGACCAGACACTCACCTGACACACTGTAAGGAGCCTGGAGAGAGATGGGAATAAAGCAGGATCAGTCCCACATCAGGGTAGAAATGCTGTGGAGGAAGCTGCTGAGGAGGATGGAGGTGACCCTGCAATCAGTGTTGATTTTTAGGGGGAAGAGTCTGTTGAGACCCAAAAGCAATTAGGCAAACATAGGGAAAAGGCTGCAGCCCAGATCCCTGCCTGGCTCCATGAGCTCCCTCACCYCATTTGGGTGCCTTGGGGTCAGGGAAGATGTGGTTTTCCTGTGCCCGAAGCCATCACATTTATTGCTGGCTTCCACGGAAAAAGCACAGCGAGCTCCACCATCCAAAGGCATCCTCAAGCCATGGCACAGGGAAAGGTGGCTTTGCACAGGAAGGGTTTTCAGYTACTGCAAGTTTGTTTTGCTCTGTGAGGAAATCCCCATGGCTCTGCCACCTCCTCACCCCATCCCAGCCAGCCCTTGTCACATTGCTGCCAGCACCCTGGGGCTCCCTGAGCACATGAGAGCAGGTGGAAAAAGGAGACAGAGAGTGATCTGAGGCAGCACAGGCCTCTCCTTCCAGCCCCCTGAGCAACCCCCTGGGGCAGCGTGGGTGGGAGCCCTGCTTCCCATAGGAGGGGAAAGGCAGGGAAGGGCATGCGGTGCCTGCGTGGCTGCAAAAACCTGTGAGAAGGAATACAGCCCAGGGGTGCAGGCTGTGGGTAAGCTCTCCAAAAATGCTGCCTTTGCCTCACAGGAGCTCCATCTCCCACCCAAAAATGCCTTTGCACACACGCACRGTGGCTGGGGAGAGGCAGAAGGACAGGGAGGGATGGGAGCTGCAGCCTTGAAAGCGAGAGGCTGGCGCCAGGCAGGGCGGGGGACGCGGGAAGAGCGCAGCATTAGCCAGGATAATCTGGCAGTCTTGGGGGACGCGCCAGAAGCCTGCAGATAATCAGGGGAGCTGGCGCTGCAGACTTTGAAGTCTGCCATCAGGTTCTCTCAGGCCGGCTCAGACATCAAAGGCGGCTGGTTCCTGCCCCCAATTACAGAGCCGGCCGGCCTGCTGCCTGCCTTCCCCAAGGCCGACGGCTCAGCCGCGCTCCCCCGGGCAGCTCTTGCAGCCACAAACCTTCTGAGTGAGCAGAAATGCCCAAATCCCTCCAGCTCCTGCTGGAGAAGGGCTCTCTGTGCTGTGAGCTCGCCTTGCTGCCACATGGCTTTCACCTCGGGCTGCTGGAGCCCAGCGAGATCTCGGTGGATACGGATCACCCCGCRATGCTGCGGAGCCAAACCGCCTGTCAGTCCCAGGAAAACCAGACAGCCACAAAAAAAAAGGGAACACTAGCGAAGGTGAAGAAAGTAACAACCTTATCTCATGGTGGTGTGAAAGTTGGCTTCCTTTCCTCAAATCTTGTATGGCCCTCATGGGACACAGCTCCAGCGCAGGGAGAGGTCAGGGTCTTCATGAGCAGCACAGGAAGGTTGTTGGGGTTGGTTTGCACTGAAAAAACCACAAYGCAGTACAGCAACTGAAAGCAAATAATTAAAAGCACAAACGAAACAACAGAAATTGAAATCCAAGAGCAGAACTGGCTGAGAAGCAGAGAAACACCTGTCCTCTACAATTGCAGCTTCTGAGGACTCTGGCCATGCTCCACAGCAAACAGCTGAGAACACCCACAACTCTCTTTCAATGAGCTGGTGTTTGCTCATGTTTGCACCATCATTTCTACTGAAAAAAAGGGCAAAGAACAAAATTGGCCACCGCACTGCAGAGAACCAACCAGAGACACTGTCAGGAAAGGGGGATGGGTTATTCCTGCTTCAGTGCCACAGCAGCAGGCACAAGCACTTGCTCTGAATCTGCTTTGCCAATGGGACAGAAGCAAAGCCTGAACATGGCCCAATCTTGCCCTAATTAAAAGTGCTTTTCCATTTTGTGTGTGAGTTGCCCCCTATTTTTATTTTCTTTTTAAATCTTCAACACACTCAAAAAGGCTGAAAACCTCACTCCTCCATAGAGCCATAGCTCCAGCAGTCTTTACAGCTCAGGCCAGCAGTGCATTTCAGACATAAATCTACTGGACACCTCACCTTTGCTTCAGTCAGGGGAAAACTGAGGGARACAAGGCACTGCTGGGGACCTGGAGGGATGCTGTACTGAGGAAGTGAATTCAGCTCCTCCCTGCCAGCTCCTCACAGCACCCCAGAAAGGAGCCGGTGGTGCATCAGCAGCCCACSCCCCGCAAATCCCGGAGCTGCCCATCTACAGCATGCCCAGGGCCTGATCACGTCACCGTGAAGTCTCCAAGAGCAGCCCCCCTGCCCAGCTYGGCTTCTGCGCAGCACCAGGAGCGGCTCCACGCCGCCCCCGGACCGCTCTGCGCTGGCACTCGAAGCAGCATCAGCATCTTTTACGCAAGCAGCATCATGAAAGGCTCTTTGAAGCAGAGCAGCCGAGGGACGCGCTTGGTTGTTTGGGCTCCCGACGG